TGTTCGGTCGATTCCGTCGGAGCGGCTGTCACCCGCGAATTATATCGCGATGTTTCGCGAGTCGGGGCTGTCGCTGGTACCTGTGAATTATGTTTCGATTCGTTTAAAAATATGCGGGCGCACCGCGCCCTCGTCATCGCAACCCACCGATGGTGGGTGCGACGGCATCCGACTGGTGGTCGTCGGGAAACGATGCTTTCTGGGGTGCATCGTTACAACGATACTTCAGCTGAAACAAGGATTTCGAATATACATACATGTTTTCGAAACGTACGCCATATGGGCTTTCTATCATGTTTATCGAAGTGTTCGTTTTACCACAATTGGAAGGTCCACAGATGATGCAACGAATCGTGTTCGGCAGTAAAGGACCGTGTCTACGAATCTCTCCAACCGTTTCGCCAGACATCAGTCGCGTCTTGCGGTCGAGATTCGATATTACTATCGATCGCGATTGTTGTACGAATCGTATTTACGTGTAACGCGCGTGCGCGGACTTCGATATAACGCGAGCGAATTTTCGCGCTATTTATACCCCTGAGCAGAGGATCTCGCACAGTTTACTCGAAAATATAAGAACAGCTCAAACGTATCTCGAAAAAAATGTTTCTCTTACTAACAGACAAACGTGGAATTCTCGATCTTACCGCTGGACAATTGCGATACATACCGAAGATCGTTCTTCTATGCGAATTTGAGAATTTCATAGAGTCACTGTGGGAACGATTATCCAAACATTTAAAAGCGGATCCTGAAGTGCAACGTCAGTTATCGTCCGTGTCTGAAGCATTACAATCGTTCGTGGCAACGAACGCACATAGACGGTCCGCCGCCACTTATCAAGAATTGCGACGAATACGATAAGATAGCGCGGGGAATGATTTCTGCTTATGGTACAGGTTTACTTAACAAGACAATAAACGCGCTTCCGTTTGAAGTACATATACCTGGATATCAATTTTGTGGATCCGGTACTCGTCTCGCGAAAAGATTAGCGCGCGGCGATCGAGGTGTATAATCGATTAGGCGCGACGTGTCGCGAACACGATATCGCCTATTCGCGAAGCAACGATCTCGCCGATCGACATATTGCCGATCGAGTTCTCGCCGAAAGAGCATGCGAACGTATAACAGCGAGCGATTCGACGTTTGGTGAGAAAGCTGCCGCGGCCACTGTATGGGCAAGCCATGAAAGCAAAAACGAAATTAGGGATGGGTATGAAAAGAAGAAGAAAGACGAAAAGGAAGAAGATACTTCCGGTGGAAGTAACGAAACGTGGAGGTTTCCTACCAATTTTACCAATGTTAGATGCGCTCGGATCTTTGATCGGTGGAGCGGCAAGCGTAGCGAGAGCTGTAAGCGATCGTAAAGCCGCTCGACGTCAGGTGGAGGGTCGCGGACTATATCTAACGCCCTACAAACGTAGTGGTGGTGGTGTGAAGAAAAGAATGAAAAGAAGTAAAAAAAAAAACATCGAGAAAGGAAACGTTAGAGACTCTGAAAATACCGTTCTCCGGTATCACGACGAACGTGCAATTTAGTCGTGCGGCGCACCGTTTGCGTTTACCATTCTTCAGAGGCGTGTTTATGCATGATGCGTTACCGACGAAACCGGGTCGTAATGAAAGCGGTATCGTAAATCTCGATAATTCGGAAAATGAGGACACACATTGGGTCGCCTACGCGAAGAAAGGAAATGACGCTGTCTACTTCGACGGTTTCGGTAATCTTAGGCCGTCAAAGGAACTCAAACGATATCTCGGGGGTAACGTATAATCGTCGCTCTTATCAAACGTTTGATCAGAACATTTGCGGTCAATTGTGCCTACGATTTCTTTAGGAAAACTACAATTTGAATCGCCTCAGTTGGTCGTTTGCCTTCGATTCAATCATGTCGTTGACTCTCACGTTGACTGGAACGAACAGTGTTCTCGCGACGAGTTACTTCCCCGCGTTGAATTTAAGTGACGGCGAGTATGAATTGGGTCTTACGAATTTTGAAACGTACAACACGATACCAAATATTACCTCAGCGAATAATAAATTCTACTTTGATACTGATAAGACGATCTCGATTCCCGAAGGATCGTACGAATTTAGTGCCATAGCTGAGTATTTGAAAGCTGCTTATTCTTCACATACGAAGCAGCAACAATAACGATAATAACGACGATTACATATTCGATGACTACAATGACGACGTTCATAAGGATGAGGTGTTGCTTCTTCGTGCCAACGAGAACACCATGAGAAGCGAGATCAAGTGTGTCTACCAAGTAGATTTTATCAAACCGAATAATATCGGTTCGATATTGGGCAATTCATCATCTCGCGTGATACAACCGAACAAAACATATTCGTCTGACGAACCTGTAAATATCATGAACGTAAGTGTAATTCGTGTAGAATGCAACATTACTTCAGGTGCGTACAACAAGGATAAATCAACACATACGATACACAAATTCGCGACAAACGTTCCACCTGGATATAAACTGTCTGATACTCCAACAAACATCATTTACCTTCCGGTCATCGCGCGAAATGTTACTGATATAACGATACGTATAGTTGCTCAGAACGGATAGTTGATCAACTTTCGTGGAGAAGAGATATCGGTTCGACTTCACATACGACGTAGACGATAAAAAAAATTATGCTCGCAAACGGAAGATGCTCATCCTGAACGAGTCGTACGACGGAAAGATCACATCGCAAACGTCGACGTTACCATCATCGTTCAAACGATACGACGAAAAAAAACAAAGAAGAACGGGGATATTGAACGCTGCGAATGTTGCTTTTTTACGATCCCTAGGATTCGTCGTAAGAAATGAGCCACGATATCCTGAATATCGGGGGTAAGCCGATCTTTGATGATCGTATCGTTAAAATCGATACTCACACCTACAATCCATACGTTAATACAACATTCGGACACAGCGACGAAATACGAATACCTATACAACATCAGGATCTGTACACGTTATCGTGCGAAAGTTTTCTCTACGTCGAGGGAAAATTTTCGGTGAAGAAGAAGAAGAAGGAGGATGGTTCCGACCCCCAATCAAGACTATCGAATAACTGCGTAGCGTTCATGATCGATGAGATTCGATACGAGTTGGACGGTGTTGAAATCGACAGAAATCGATAGAAACGTCGGTTACTAGCACAATCAAGAATTACGTATCACTGACTGCTGATAAAGGTAAAACGTTGCAAAACGCAGGATGGGTCAACTCGTGGAATTGGAGCAATATATTGAACGTCCCGTCACCTGAAGATTTCAACTTCTGCGTACCGCTTAATACGCTCCTCGGATTTTGCGAGGATTACAAACGTATAGTGATAAACGTGCGACATGAACTTATTCTGATACGTGCGCGTAACAATAGCAATTGCGTAGGCGCACGATTCGGACGAACTTAAGATCACCCTATTGAAGGTACAATGGAAAATGCCGCACGTAATGTTGAACAACGTTAATAAATTATCGCTTTTGCGGACGTTGAAAGGCGGACGATATCTCAACGTGGGTTTTCGA